AGAGGCGCCCAGCGGCGTCCAGTTGTATTCGAATCGAAAAGCCAACGCGGTTCAAAGTGCGGGCGGCACATGTATGTACATATAGATAAATTTACAGCAAAAAAAACGCGTATGCGTGTGACAATAATCCTTTTTTTGATAGGAAAAGAAACAGGAAAAATTGGAGGCTGAGCGAAAAGCCAGCGACACAAAGAATGCCTCTGTTTCAGCTTGGTGCGACCCGACCAAAGTCGCGAGACGCTCAAAAGTCCTTCCTCTACTGAACGAACCAGACGCCGCTGAACTCTTGGCGCGAAAGAACACGGGCCGAGCTTCGTGAGTTTCCCGGCTATGCCAGTCTTCAATTTTCCCGGGTACTAGCTGTGTGCTTGAAGTACTAGCTAATGTGCTTGAACACTGGGCTAGTTGACCCGAAGTTCTAAAAGGCCGTAGAAGTGTGATGTGATTTTAATTCAACTTAACACGAAAGCAAAACATGATGATATAACTTTTATTAATCCAGTACGTTTTTAGAACTTTACCGCTACTAGAATGAAGCAACGAATAACGCTTGTCCATTGGACATTTTACGCTTGTCTTCCATTATAATCGGAAATTCAGTAACAATAACATCCGAGTTTAATATTTTATTAATAAGGCTAAACTTGAGGTGCGGGAAGAACAATTGCGAGAATAATATAATCTGAAAACGCTGAAAGGATGCAGCAGGTTTAAATACATGATCACATATAGCGATGCTCTTACTGGATACATGCTTGCTTTTTTACCTCGCAATTACCTATAGTAATATGATTAATATTTAAATAAAAATTGAGAAATTTTTTGCAAGCACATAAAATTAACGAGAGATCCCTATAGTTACGTCAGTTCTTGTCGTCACAGAGCCTCCTATTGGTTCAGTTCTTTACGAAGGCACGATTCAGTAACACACTCAGTAGCTTCTTCAGTACGTTTGTCCCCTTCAGTGACAATGAAGAGATGTTTCTGTCGTCGTACAGAGATTCAGCTCGGAAAGAATACAGTTAACCATCAATACGTCTAGACGAAGTTAGCCGTCAGCCAAAAGCATCAATGGAGCTCCCCGTCTGCCTGCCTGCCTGCCTGCCTGACGATCGACCGCGTGTGTTTGCTATTTTTCCGTCCCCTCTTTTTGCTGTGTTTCTATGACAGCGGTCGCGTTAATCTAACATGGTCAGATTGACAACCTCGGCATTATAGACGGCCATCTCCGCCTACGCAACTGCCCGTCGCAACGGTCGACCACTGTTTTATAGCACCATTTTCTATAGACCAGTTGCTATTGACTCTAGTAATGGCTGCAGGCTTTATCGTATGATGTTATAGTAATTGTAGTTGCGGCGACCTGTCAAATCCTACGCGTACGGGGAGCGATCGACTCAGGTTTACTAGCCGGTGCAACACCAGCATGCGTACAGTCAAGCAGACGAACAATCATATCAAAGAGCGCAAAAAGGCCAATGAAAAGGAGACAGCAAGAGAGAAAACCAAATAAACTCAATCGTTCTGTTGTGTCATGAACGTTGATTTTGCATTGACTGACTACCATAACCATTCAGCCAGCACCGTCATCATCAGCCACATTACCCGACGCAGCTTTATCCAATCTGGAGTAGACGAATAAAGAAAAATGGAATAGCGCGCCTAGCTCAAAGCAGCCAGCATATGATAGCCATAGTGTCGTTTCGTTGAAGCGTGTTTGTCCACTTACAAGGTCAACATTCGGTCCGCTTGGGCTATCACCTACTGGTTGTCGATGCACCTCGCTTGAGCCCTTCAAGGCTCTAGAACGACATGCATATGGTAAAAATCAGCGGCCAATTGAACACCTCGCCACGAGCGAATCTCTAAATGCTATTGATGGCCATGAAAGGATCGCAGCGTAGACAATGTCGTCGATGATGTTAGCATCGTACAAAAGCCACGGTAGCAACAACACTAAAACGACTCTTTCACCCCCCTGTATGATTGCGTCTGATGCTTGATGATGAGTAGTAGATCGGAAGAACAACAACTAATACGAGATGAAACAGAACCGATTAATGGATAAAAAGAATCATCTCCACAGGAGATATTCCTCTATGCCAAGTAGGCTTCCTTTAGCGATTTTTTTTTCGGCACTAAATACCGCAAATGGAACACGAGGCAGGGGTATGGTGGTGACAGAAACGCTCGTGATAATTGGGGTTATGAGGAAAAAAAGGGTTCTCTTTGTCTGAAATGGAACATCGTTGAGCTGATTGAACGCAGGAAGATACAGCAGTGGCGCACTCCGTCACTTTCAATGCAAACGTTACGCTCTCGACGTTGGATAGAAGAAACATTGATGCAGCACGTACAATTACGTGTAGCATGCCTGTTCGTAGTTAGGGGCGTCCATATTGATCCCTGAGACCCGGAGATGAAGAGGCATCTAATAGTACTTGCCTATGTATAAACAGAAGTCAGATTTGCAGTCCTCTTATAAATTTTCGGTAACTTCTTTTTGCAATGCTTGTATACTTCACAATATATAACATGCGTAGCTTGTTAGCTAGATAATTAATAGTACTGGATAAACTGGGTTCTACTAAACATGTGACTATTTGCTGGGTGGCGACCGCTATCAAGACACGTATACACAAACTATGTACGCTGTATATATATATAAACATGGAAAGAAAGAGGGGATATGGTTTCGTCGTAGGCGCAGTGATGTCATAGACGGAGTAAAGGCTGGCTTATGCCTTGACGGCACCCCCAAGCGTTTAGTATTCGGCAAATGCTTCTCGTCCTTTGTTCAGGTTCTGTCGGTCAAGGCTTTATTTTGGTGTTTGCTGGCTTCAGCTGTGGGTATGGTATTACAATAGTCCAATATGGAATACGTGTATTATATTTATACGGGTGGTTACTTACCTAGAGACAAGGGCAAAGTCGGCTGGTCAGTTATAAAGGAAGACGAGAGTGAGTCAGCCAGCCTGACTTTATCTATTCTATCAATAAGCAGAATGTTCGCATGGTACATTGACTTGTGCGCATCGCTACCGGCGCCCCCTAACAGTCACCCGCTGCTTACCATTATGCGAGCCCCCACAGAGAATCTGACTAGGAAGGAATTGCTTGGCCTTTGTCAGCTACAATACAATAGCGTAATAGTCACCACAAGCTTCGAACTGGTGCGTCTTACAGTTTGTTGCTAGCGCCATCAAATTCCTTACGTAGGAAGGCAGGCAGCACCCAGGAGGGCAACAATAGCAACAACATAAATTGTGTAGACTATCGAGGCGAACCACAAATACAAACATATCGGAGAAACAGCTAAGAGCGTGTGAGACCATCATAAATAATCTATACCGCTGGTACGGTTACCTTTGGCTGTCCAAGCGTTCGTTGATTTAAAAACGACTATTGGCCGCCTTTTGATTGGTTCTTGGTCAATGATTTGTTCCTGATAATGTCGCTTGACGTGAACATATCAACCCGCAAATATAGCACGCTTCCTTACCTTTGTATTCCTGCGGTTTACATACATAAATAGAATACATACATTTATTTATTTCATATTGTGGCGCGTTTTCAAAATTATCATAACCCAACCTATAATTTAACCTACCAAAAGTAAGCTAAGATTACATAATTGTAAACTAATGCTTCAATATTTGTGTTGTCAACGAAACAGATGTTCTCTTAGATTTGTATGTTTCTTTCTGATTTCGAGAAAAGAAAATCGCTAAAAAAGTGAAAGCCAGATAGCCAAATAATGGGAGGAAAGAATTTGTTTTAAAACATAAAAAATTCTTTCATGTTTTATGTGTACGCTGCGTAGGATTATTGTTTTTCTCTGTCGGCCGGCGAAGCATCGATCGTAGCGAGATCGCTACGAAAAACGCAGGGCGCGCCCTAATAAAATTGGAATATTTTCAGCTAATTTACTGCGTCTCAAAGGGGAAAACGAGCGACCAATTTAGCAAACATTCACCTATACGTTTTCTCGTTCCTGATTGTCGCATTGTTGTTGTTTTTCCCGCTGCTAATGACGGTATTGAGCTCAGTCGAAGATCATCGTACAGAACAGAAAACGCAATTTTTTGCAGGAAATACCCGACCCGTGTGTGTGGCGCAGATGACGCAACAAAATGATCCGCCTCACATGGATGTATGTTACCTGAGTATGTGAGAGGATATGGGTGCACTTGCGCTTTTCTTCGTCGAAATAATGTTATTACCTAGCAGGAAATTCTGCTTTTTTTTACATTAGCAGCAACTGCTGACCCGCAAATTTGCCATTGGGTTATAGCTACGGACATTAGACAGATCATGGTCGAGATTGAGCAAACCACGAGGAACAAAGTCAAAGGTGAATACCAAAGGTTTGTTCAAAAAAAAACATGGTCAGCTGCTCCATACAAAATAATAGTTGCGTACATACGACGATAAATCAATAACGCGGAACCAGAAAACATCGCCTGCCCATTTGCTGCTTGATTCTTTCGGGGTGTCCATGCAAGAACTCGCCCCCGAACACGCCCCGATATCCTTGCCAGCCCCTCTACCCAGAGAGAGCACAGAATCAGAACAAACAGCTCAATTCTACTGCTGAAACATATACAATAATGACAACAAAGACAGTGAATAAAAGTATCGAATACAATGCGAAGTTATCAGAAATAAGGTATATAAGTTAAATATAAATATACATTTTAATTATATAATACAACACGCTTTGAGGAGATTTTTCTGAGAAGCGTTTCATACGTGGTAGATGACTCTTTGCCCGTGCAGTCATATCTTGTACGGTAGGGCAGCTATATTAGATTGGCCTCACCGTTCGAGTTAGCTTTGGTCGGGCAGACCCATCTAAACAGGTGCTTGCCACCTGAATCAGCATGTTGGCCTTGGCTGCTTCATTCATTTATGAATGGTTATTAGAATGAGGGTTGATGACCATTGCTTGACTAAAATGAGGCAATATAACTAATCGATGTGTATGGATTTTGTTGCAGTTCCTTGGAGTATGGTTTGTGATTCAGAAGTCGCACTCGACGATGTCTTGTCTGAAAGTAAACATCACTCGGAGAGGGGATGAGGATTTTAAAATCACCGAATATCGTAGATTTGGTCTCCTTCAAAAAGCTGTGGACCATACGCTTATTGATGTCGGAGTGCTGAAAATCCCTGATCCAACTGAGCCAGCCAAGATGAATGTGAAATTCTCTCTTAGTAAGTATACCAATATTACGTATACACAGTCACCTGAGACTGTTTTATTCTTTCTTACCACTTCGGACCTTGTTTGTATCCATTATTATCTATCATATATTATTATTATTATTACTTTCAAAACAGCACATTGTTTGCTTTGATGCAAATATAAATAAAAATATATAAAAACGGCGTTCTGTTTTTCCTCAAACTTAAATGGTCTCAAGGTGTATCCTATGTCGAGCCGTCTCGCACGACCCTACAGAGGTCCCCGAAGAGATAAGTGTTAGAGATATGACGGAAAGGGCATGTTTTTCGCAATCTGAGAGAAATGGATGCCTTTGTGAGGCGAATTCACGTTACTGCCAGACGTCCCTGCTTGTACGTTACGTTCCAATTTAGCTCTAGGGGTGCAGCCGTGAACCTTTGCCGCATTTTAGTTCGTGTCCTTCTCACCTGAATCTCTCTAAAGAAAGAAGGAGCAATTCCTTCACGGAAACGTATAATACATCCGCACCAGGTTAGAGTCAATTACCAACTTAGTAAGGTTAGCCGACTCCTCTAAAATCGCGTACGAGGCAATTACTAGGATTTCCTAAGGACTACGGCTCCGACCCTTGTTGAGAACCTTAATATCCAAAAGATCCCTTTATCCTGTTTCGCTTGTGGAGAACTTTACGTCAGTATTTTGGTAAGATGCGAGTGAACAATTTTTTATGTAAAAGCTGTCGGAAGGAGAAAAAAGTTTTGTGTACACGAAGACAGCGTTGTCGTACGTGAAAAGTGTAGATGAGAGCATTGGGCTTGAGCAGTTGAAACCTTGTGTTGCCCGCGTTCTAGCTAAATCAACTACAACTTACTAACAAGAAACTCTAAATTTGAACCAAAACTTTAAAAAATAAATTAACCAGACGAATACGAAGGATAGCAACTATTCGATCATACATCTCGAATAAGGCTGACCGTTCAGTGGTGCACGAAGTTGAAGCTCTTTGATTATTAGGTATATCCTAAGTTACTAACTGAAGTGTACCGAAGCGACTTTTTTGCACTTAAAAGCTAAAGAAGGATAGAGAAAAACTGACGAAGAGAGGTTTAAAGGCAATAGGAGTAATGAACTTCGTCTATGCCCAGCAGGAACAAATGAGTTTGACCTTTTTTTTTTTTCTATCTTGTTTGGATGTTTGCTTACAAATACAAACAAAACACATCGTATTTGAAGCCTATTTTTTATGCCTTTTTCATATGCGTCTGGCTATATATACCCCGCTGTCTTTCCTTATCCATTCGGTCGCTCTTGCTCCTGAACTCATGTGTTTGTAAAGTCTCCAAGTGATTTTCTGCATCATCAGTTATTTTTGCTGTTGCCTGTAGCTGACCTCTTGTGCGCACATAGATCTTGTTTATCCCTGCCCGTCTCCCTCTCGAGGATTAGAGCTGAACAGATAATGATCATTCAAAGACTACCGTCATTAATCATACACACACAAGCTACGAACCCAAGAACCAACATTAACATCGACGTCGAAAACGATAACGACAGCGACAGGCCCTTATCTTACAATAGAGGCTTATGAGCACACGAATCAGAGAGTTCGAGCATTGGAACGGCTCATAGCATTGCTTCGAATGGAGTTACTCCAGCGGCGCTACTATCAGCAACGGAAGCAACCTTTCTAGCAATTTTCGGCCGTCGTCTTTTGTCGCTTGTGGCTCAAGCAACAGATTTTTATCATGCGTGCGAATCCTGTTTGCAGGTACGTTTCCATCTCTAGTGGATGACTGTCGACCGCCGTCGCTGACTTTTCTTTTGATCCGTTATTCGTACGGCACTAAACAGGTATCCATATTCAGTGTTCGTACGCCGTTCTTTTTTTTTTTTTTTTGAGATATTTGTGTACGTGGCATAGGATCATTTATAGCAGCTCAGTATGGGACCGAAGAAGATGGCCGGTGCTCGCACCTTGTTTCCTCTACACACTATGGTTGTCAATAGACCCTTGAGCGTCGTTGTTATGCCATATCATAGTATATATATCTAAAAGTCGAGTGTCTCTTATCCTCGAACGGACTGGTTAACCGCATTGTCATGACAGCATAGCCTTTCGCGCAGCAGATGATGAGATCAGATTAGATTGTCGCTGCATCAGACGGACCGTCACAATGAACAGTATTTACGCCGAACTTGTTGCATCTTCTTGTATCATTGTGCAGACGCTTGAAAATCTCTGGAAGAAAGCGTTGTCGTATAGCAGAGACAAAATTTTTCTTTTTATTTTCAAGTCGCATGTCCGTCCCGAGACGAAACAAAGAAGAAGTCGCTCGTTGTCAAATTACTTTCCTTTCCTCTTTTTTAATGAGGGGTTTAGCAGGGAAGGGACTATTTGTATACAGCCAGTGGGTGCAAGGTGTGTGTTTCTGTTGTCAGCTATTTCAGATGTAGTTACTTACCATTTCTCCTTCATCTGGGCCGTTTAACGGTTGCTTATAGAAATGCGTCGCGACCTGTATCCTGTCTAGAGAGAATTTTCAGAAAAATGTCCTACTATGGCCTTTTGCATAGATCTATGCGCAACATGGCAGATTTTCTTCTCTTTTTTTTATTTCCAACGTATTTAACCTGACTCGTTTGTATGCATTCTGTGATACAGAAACGTTCCTGTGTGATCGGATTCTTTCCGTGCTACAGGAAAAAATCTAAGTGTTTCCATCTCATTGCTTCTTTACATGAACCGATAAATAGTCCAAGTTTTATCTGTGGCATTGCCTGGGTTAAGCACTGACGGCCATAGACGGCTGGACTCTTCCAACATAAAGCGAGGTATGTCTGTGCTGGGTTTCCAACCTTACCTGTTTTTACACTTAGTAAGGAAACACATTGCCACTGGGCTATCGAGGGATACCGCACATCCTGTCTAATATGTCGCAGCTTGATTAGACACAAAATGTTCATTAACTCTCCAAAGTATCCAAGTACAGTACCATTACTAATTCAACGTACAGGTGGGTTTTGCTTTGTCCTGCTGAATAACTCGACCCAGCCATTTCGTCTCCAGTGACAAGCAGACCTGTACACAACGTATTTAAATCCCTAGAAGGTATATTGAATTGTTAAACTATATGTTTAGTCCAAATATTAATACAGTGATAGTAATTCGCTTGTGGAAATTGTCATCTAGTTATTGCACACAATAAACAATACTGTAATCGTCACTTCAGCAAAACGGTCCCTTTGTTCTAAACCTTTTTCCAAATCGGCCATTCTCACTTATTTCTCTACTCGAAGCTTTTTTTTATCTCCCAGCCAGATTTCTGTTACGTTTCATGTTGACACCACGAATTGCGTAAAGCTGACAACGTTGTGCCAGTGTCACGGTACCGCGCAGTCCGATCCAATCAGCAAATCTAAATTGTGTAGTAGTCGTATGGGGGCCCGCTGTTGTCGATTTAGATATTCTATTTTGAGGCGAGCCACTTATCTTCAACTGTTGGCGCCCGAAAAGCAAAAACGAGTTATGGAAGGAGAAGGGGAAAGTTATGGAAAGGAGCCTGGAGGGACTTGGTCCAGTCGACGGGATTACAACTTACGTTTCTCCCTAGCAACAGGAAACGCGAAGCCCAAATAACAAAGCTATAAGTGATGAGTTGAGCCGGATACGACTATTATTAATATAATTGACAATAACTTTTCCCGTATTCGACTGTAGTCAATTGTAACCAACGAAAGATCATTTGTCCTTTTTATAGATTAGCGCGCTAGGCTTTTGTCGCCTCAAAACGAAAAATCATCAACGATATCGTGCAGAAAGTCCAACTCGTAAATCGAAATCTGCGCGTGCTTTTACTCTTCATTGAAAATTAAGTACGGAACAGATATACATCCCGAACGAATGTATCAACCCCAAAATGGGAAGCCATTGCTAGGAAGCGTCCCCGAATTTAAACTTGGATCAACGTAATTGTTACAGGTGTAAAAATGAGAGCGCATTCGATTTCAATACTGTATACCATATGGTGGCGTCGAGAAATATTAAATCCTCTTGCGAAAACCTTCAGAAAGCCTTAGCACTGAGATGACTTTACATGTTCACATCTCACTCAAATTGAGCCTTTAGGTTTAGGCAAGAGTGTGTATCAATACAACAACGAGAGCATGGCTTAGAGGGTTGTTAAAAAGAATATTCAGGATCTTAGTTAATAGGCGTGCCCTCCATGGTACCAAGGGATACCCTTTAACGTCTGACCAAAAATGTTAAATAACTATGTTTTAAAATAATAAAAATGTTCCCTTAAACTAAGTTGGAAAGGAACTTGTACAACATAAGCCGTTATTGTGGCCACTTTATATAGATGTGTTTATTTGCTTCATGTAACGAGGCTAGTTAATGTATACTCTTTAACTTAATAATGGTCACATCGCTCGTGGTGGGGCTCCTTTGCGCAAAGACTGGCAGTAGCAATAGGGTAAGAAAGAACCAATGTATATGAGAAACTCTGTGCCAGATAATGTGCGGCTCACCCTTTGTGCTCCAATAATTATCGCTTTTATGGGCCTAAATGTTTTGTTACTAGGACTATAATACGTCGTACTTACTTCGTCAAGTTAAAATTGGTGCATTTTTGAGATGTTATTATTTAGCTCGCAGTGTATGCGAGCTAGACAATAACAAACGTCGTTTTTACTAATCTACTTTGTTGCCCGAGATTAACTGAATACATTTTTCCACTTCGTATTTATACGTAAACCTACAATCAATGCGTACATTCGACCTGTTATTATAACTATAATTTATATTGAAGATGTACAATTTACGATGACGAGCTACCTTGCCCGGCCGCCTAGGGAACAGTTAGTCAGCGGGGCCCGATTTTTTAATAGTAAATAAAAAAAAAAACTCGCATTATCTTAAATTCACCGCTAGCCTGCTTTAATCACCATCGTATTCGATACATGCGTATACACGGGCAGGAGAACCATATCAATCTGCGCACCATATAAATACAGTTGCCTTCGTAAGAGGCTGCATAGGGAAAAAGCATATGGGCACTCAAACAAACAAAAAAATACTTACGAACTTGTTTTTTCGAAACTCTGTTAGGTACATCTACTGGGCCGACGCGTTCGGCCCATGTAGTTATGATCCTGGTAATCTTCCTATTTTGTTGCCGCTCTGCCCCTGCAACGCATCATACCTGTTCCTTCATCGATAGCTGTCTTCGTATCCGCTTTGTTCTTAGTGATCTAACTAACAGTATACTGATCATTGCTAACTGGACGATATTTGTAGCAATAATTGTAATAGCGCTGTTTGTCGTAGGGGTTATTGGGATAACGTAGAAGAATATATTTTTGCCTATAGACAAAGAGATGGGAACATATTTTAAGAGAAACGAAAAGAAAGCTGTACTTCTATATGAGTGTTTCATTCTGTGACTGGGTATCGGTAGGCTGGGCTTCGGATTCGTTTTTCGCTCACCGAAGATCCTGAGGATCGCTGAAGTAATGAACAATCATGGCGAAGGGCATGATACATTTCTTTTCTTTTCCGTATCACCAAGATATACACACATATAGGCTCAATATAATATTATTTGCGCGTTATGAAAGCCACCCGGATATCACCGGATATCGCTGGCTTTTTCTGCCTGGGTGTTCGTTAGTATTTGGCAAATTGCACACACAACTTTTATACGGCTTTATTGTTAAAATGACGTGCTCTAAAGATTGTCGTATATCTAGTCATATATATAAGAGAAAAATCATTTTTAGACAGAACATTTTTTCTTGTTATCCTCTTCTACAAGTCGCCAACATCTACTGCGATGATGGCATCCATCGCAAGCCGCTGATTTGGTCGTCTGTCTGATCCACAGATGAACGAAAATCAAAGATCTACGATAAATAATCTTGAAAGCCAGGCGCGTATGCATATGTATCTATCCAATCACTTGACGAATGTCTGGTAACCGAAGATTGTTGAATTTTTTCAGTTACTCTCTGGCTGTAACGTAGTAGTAGTAGTAGTAATAGTAGTAGCAGCAGTAGTAGCAGTAGTAGTAGTAGTAGTAGTAGTAGTAGTAGTAGTAGTAGTAGTAGTAGTAGTAGTAGTAGTAGTAGTAGTAGTAGAAAAAAACGAAGGCAAAGGCAAAGATGAGAGAGCGAAACAAAAACACTTCATGCATTCAGTTAAAAAGTGTATACCCTTGCTGCGTGAGCTCTGTCTGTGTGAAGTATATTGTGTACATATGCGTGGAAACTTACTTGGATTCTTACTACCAATCGAAGTACATTGAACGAAATAACTATTTCGAGGCGCACCGAGTGCGAGGAAGTCGCAATAGTGGCTAGCGGCAAGACGGGAGCACAAAGAGAAGTTGTAACGGTTCTGTCATATTGTGAAACATAATGTCCTTTTGTACGGATCATAAAGTTGGCTATACAGTAGATGAGGATGATATCATAAACAAATGAACGGATACGATATCTAATAACATATTGGAGAGGCTGCCAATAAATTTGTTCGACTCTGCTAAGTTAATCTGGCAAGCCATGTATCATACGGATAATTGAAGAAGACGTCTTGAGGAAAATGCCATAAGTCGGTTATCGTACTTTGAGTGGTTTGTTTATACGGCTGATTTTCGTCACACAAAAAAATTCAACGAGATTTTTTATTGTGTGACATTTTATTGTACGAGGCTGTTAGCCGACTCGCTACACATATACGACACTGAAAAAACTAACATATGGAATTTATAGAATTTATATTTATTCACGTAGTGATGCCTAATAAACGCAGCTAATTACGTTATCGAGTGAGACGTGTGTCTGGGCGCAGTTTCTACACCACATCAAGATGGCAGAATGTTTTCGTGTTTGGTTTTTAAGCGTCAACTCTTGCTTCTTCTTTATCGAATAGGTAATTTACTTTCTTGACGACCATCGCCAGTTCAACACGTATAATTGTACGTAGCTAGCGTCTAAATGGATTCCGGAACCGACATAGACGAGATTATTGTATTATTAACAATATATAATTACAACTAATAGAAAACGATGAAAATCACGCCTTCCAGGCGCGTGGGTGGAGCCATTCACTGTGATGGACACCGATTACGATACGTACGCGGCGACGTTTTCTTGCGTGAACGCCGCTGGAATGGGCCACCGCAAAAATGGAATGATCCTCTCGAGGCGACCTGATTTAGATAACACCGTCGCTGATAAACTTCGCAAGCTGTTCGATTCATTCGGCGTTGGACCATCCAGTCTCAGGTATATAGACCTAGCATATATGGTTTCTTTCTACTCGGTTCCGGCTAGGGCGCCTCTATGGGACGCACCAAGAATGGCAGATGCTAGGTCCTAACAACAACACAATGTGTTCGAATAGGGATATTGCAAGTCTATCATTGTATATATCTTAGATAAAACTGTATATTGTGATTTCAAGCAAGACACGTGTCCAAAGGGAACGGATAATTGGACTGACTTAGATTTATTTTTATATTTTATACATTATTGACTGCTGTACAGATAAGGGTTTTGCTGGATCATGCGTGTTTGGCGTATCCATGCCATGAGTCGTAGCGTCCTGGTAAATGCTCGTGTGGTTTTTATATTCACATTCTGTTTCTAGATTATTTTATCCAATTCGCTCAAAGAATGAAGAAACCAAAGTAGGGTTTTGACGCAAAGTCTATTGCCAACTCAAGACTTTTTGTGATCAAACCTTTATAGTATTTCAGATCGCTAACTCTACGGCAATTACTAATTTGGATTATTTATTAAAGAATTTAATACAGCTGTTCCAAGAGCCAATTTCTAGAACAGAACATATAGGCTTGCTTTTTTTCCGTATAATTTAATGCACCCTCTACGGTATGTGAAGTGCTTGTCGCTCGTATTCAATTCCTGTTAACTTCATGCAGAGTATGCACAATACTGGGATCCTTCAGGGAGGCTTGGTCTTAAATTTAGAATGCGAGGACGTTTGGCGCCATACTTCAAGGTCAGAGTTTGACTTTAAATTAACTATACCGTGCGATGTATTGTATCTTTTCGATCAGCGTCATTTGTTTACATCTTTATTAGCTACACATAAAGTAGGTAGATAATATATGCTTAGCTTGACCTAAAGCGTCTGTTCAGTTCAATCAGTTCTCAGGAATCAGGAATACCAATCAGTTTTCTTTCTGTTTTATCGGACCTGCCTCCTACCAGAAGAAAATGACATTTATGAACAGTTTTTCTTTAACAAGGATATTATTATCCGAAATAACATCGCTTGTCTCAATCGATTCTGCTTAATGGTTTTCACGGTGGCTGTCTTGAAATGATTGGCACCACAACACAATGCACAATTTAGGAGGTATACAATTTAACCGTTAGCTAAAGTCCGTTTCCGATAAGATCCATTCAACTAATAGCAAGCTGCCCTCTGAAACTAGCTATGAAGTGGCGAATCTATTTCAATCTGACTTCGACTCAGGAACTGTGACCTTTGTTGATGTAGTGATATATTGAACATCATTAATTTTAGGTAGATAGACAGATCGATAAGTACGACTACCTACATACGCGAACAAATTAAATCTCGAATAGAACCAGATACCTTAATTGAAAGGAACATATCAAAAATAAGTTACTTTGAACGAGCATTATACTATAAGCGGGCTTTTTGCTGGCGAAACTCTATGGGAAAGTATGGCAGCTTAGCTAGACTTCCTTCTAAAAAAACACAAAATAAGTATCAATGGCAAGTTTCCCCCTGACCATTTCAAATGTTGGCGTATTTATGATAGCATGAAAAACAAAGCCTATTTCGAAAAAGGCTCTGTAATCCTTTCAATGAGTGAGGAGTGACTAGCTGAAATCAAATACTAATGTAGAATTAAGATCATTCCCAAACAACATACGGCATCATCGCTTAACAATAACAAATTAACACTCGAAATGTTTTCTTCGTACTCAGATAAGCGTGGATATTAAAGCATTCGGGGCCGGAAAAAGAGCCGTGTGCACGAAATTTCTTTCAGACTCTTCTGTACGTTCTGTTCTGGTAGACACACTGCCATCGTTACTGCCGATATCATTACATTGATAATGTCAAATAACAACAGTAAAAAAGCCTTACGACGGTGCTCTGCGGCTCTCGAGTTCCACACGAAAAAGAAGAACAGATGATAATGTTCATGAGCCAGTCTATGCTGCCACCGAATCTTTGAACGATGTCAACGATCCCCACGCTGGAAGAAAATTGATTATTTACCCCCCCCCCCCCTTTGCCCCCTGGTTGGGGCAATAGATACCAAAGACAATGAATGAAGACAGTGGTGACAAGGTCCAGCACCTCATTTGTTGCTGACCGCCCAGTACTGCTGCCATTGCTGTTGCGCCTGTTTACTGTTCGATGATAAAGCACAAGTTTTTCCAAAGAAATCCATACTATCTGTAGTGCATCAGTAGTTGAACGGGTAACCGATGTTGGCCGTTTGCTGCAGATCCACTCTCGTTTACTCTCTGCGCGTAGGAGGGAAATACCGATTCCAATATTTTTAAAAAATAATGTAATATTTTCAATAACCACGACGATATCACACGACACGAGGCCCATTGCTACAATAAATTGTTTAATTGAAATCAGCAGACGAGCAAGCCGTTATAGATTATCGTGTTGATGTTCCGATCGTGTCCTTCATAGGACTGAATAGCTGTCTAATGATCACGGCATGATTGGCCTGTCGATTTCATAGGCGACCATTATAGCCGTCGGCAATAGCAAACAGCTTGTACAATTCTGCTGTCGCTGTAAGGAAAAATCCCTTTTTGTTTTAGAATCTGCCTGTTTGGTGGGTTGATTGCGATCTGCGCAGACGATACGAATCCTTTGCGGGTCCTTCTAATGTGTGCAGTCTAAAGGAAAAATATATAGAATTTAAACTGCTTCTACGTCATCTCTCACCGGGGACTGAGAGAGGACCAATACATGCATCAACGCATATATATATATATATGCATTTTTATCACAGCAAATATCATAAAATGATTTTTTTCGCATAAAATCTTCTGGCGTCGACTACACTGCAACACTGAAAAAATGTTGTGATGTTTTTTTAAGAAAAAAAATTAGCGATTCTGTGTCAAGCGGGATCAAAACACCGACAAAAAACGGACATCTTTGCTTTTGTATTAACTTGCAATATCTAGCTAGTGCTTTCCGAACTGCGGACTGATCCTTGTTGTCCACAGCTGTTGCAATACGACCGCAGCATATGCGGATCTTTTACTGGATTCAATGGGAATAACTATAAATAGGGCAATAAAACAATCAATGTGCAAAAAGCTATTCCGGAACTTCTACCTTGGCCATTTTTCAGAGCAATATGTGGCTAGATCCCCACTAGAGTGTGTATTCTAAAAGCCATTTTGGCTTTTGTCATTGATCTTAGCAAATCAGTTCTAATATTATGGTGCACGTAGGCCAAAGCGGTTACCTATACAAATACCACTATCGCTATCAAATAAGCAGTACTTAGTCGAATTTTACTAATTAATTAATTGGTTAGCTTTACTAACACTGCAGTGTTCTCTAAACAGTTTCATCGACCAGAAACACAGCTGTACGAGTATGCTGAAAAGCAAGAACGACCACGATCGCGTGATCTCGCTTGGCCCCCTGAACATCAACAGAAAGCCTGAGCCGTAAACTGAAACCAAGGTGTCTGCTTGTAAGATCGACGCAAGCACTATTCAGCCCGCCCCGCTAATCCTCGGTACTTTTAGCGAATCATTACATCAGAGCTTGTCACTCGCATCAACGTTTCCGTCAGTACTCCCAAGTGGCAAAGCTCTAATGCTAGCAGACCGGCGGCCGGTCCGTCAAACAATTTAACCATTCGACGTTAACTGTCATAACAATAATAACAACAACAACAACATCAATAGACGGAAGCCCAATCATGTCAACACTTAAAGAAGCCCAGTACCTTATTGGGACCACTAGTCAGCGCAGTTAGGCCGTGCGTGGATTTTTCTGCGACCTTACGTACATATAAACACACACACAGTTCCCTTCTTTTATATTTAAAAATACATCGTATAAAGTATCTATCGTAGGTGTACTAAATATAGATTAAAAAAGAACAAAAACTAAGTAAGAAGCCGTTTTGTCCGTATTTTGACCGTTACACATTTCTATTCAGTAGTAATAATAATATTAAGTTTTCACGTAATGCTCAAATCATTACCAAACACATAGCACACCACTTACGCTCTGCGTGAGGTGACCACGCAACAACAACGAGCGAGGTAGATGATGACACCGACCAGAACATACGCACTACATTAGGAAAATCACACTCAATTATCGTTGCAATATGTCGTACGTCCGTAAGGCCGGTATAAGAAAAAGAGGATGCATATATATATATATATATAAGAGAAACAAGCTCGTAGCATGAAAAAGCCATCGATTCATGAAACGCGTTCTGTTGACGCCTTGCTGGCCGACAAGCAGAGTTTTGATCAAAGTAGAAGACCTACCCGACAAACATCTCGATCACGCTTCGCCATCGGTATACCAGCGGGGGGTGAGTCTGTTCTGATAGGATTGCTATTGTTGCTATCAATGTAAAAAAGAATAACCGCAACTAAAAGAAGACGGGGCGCGACCGGGAAGGCGTACAGTGATTACAGGATTCGTTTAGCCACGATAAAATCAAATACTGCACCAATATGAGCACCTGAGCACGTCACTTTGGAAACTAGCTATGCTCACAAGATAATACATGTTCACGCTGCCTTAAAGGAATTGAGCGAATCCGTTGCTTGTTCTTGCCCTCCACAGATCAACTTGACAATAAAATTAAGAATTCATAAACAACGAAAATCTAAGGCGTATGGTCCCGGCATGGACCGACGCCCAAATGATATATATACATATATATATATATATATATATATATATATATATATATATATATATATGGGGTAGCTATTTTAAAAATCGAAAAAATAAGGGTTGAAAGTATATGTTGGACTTGAAAAATAAAGGTTAAGGATGGCAGCTAAGCAAATGAGTATTAAAGAACATGTAATAAGCTCTAGGCAAGCATACCCCTTATAACTATGATACTACTGCACCTTTAAAATGAACTAAGAATATAAATAAAAAAACAAGAAAATCCCGTTCAGAGGCGGCGTCACCGGATCAGATTTCCCCTCGAATGAGCTCAGCTGAGTTCAATTTCGAGGGCCGGGACGAAACTGCCCAGCACTGAAAGCACACGTATGAAGCTGGCGTCACCGCTAAAATACAGCGAAAACGACTGTAATAGTCCATTGCAACAGAAGCAACGTCCACCGTCATCACAACGCCCACTAAAGCAATGATACGATTGACCAAGAACCCATCGCAAGCGACAAAATATCTACACTCCATCGATAGCACCGACACGCGAAAATTAGCCCACAACGGTAACTGTCACTCAAACCAAACGAGAGAAAAAATAACGTAAAGGTACAATATGATAATGCAGATATATCTAAGATAAAATTACAGCGACCAAAATACGAAACAGAAGGCAGGGAATTTTGGGGACAAATTACGGTTTGAAGCAAAAACTATAGTCGTAAATTAAGTCAGTGTGGTTATCAGGTTTAGAAAGACTATGGAGAGGCATAACTGGCCACAGAGACCAATCAACGAATGGTCCATAGTGATGAAGTAACCGCTTTTAAGCTTTTCTCACATAGAACACCTGAAAGACCGCTAACCAGCCTCTATATCTTGTGCACACTTGGTCATCGACGACACGATCTTCGCACATTCGTTCCCTTAGGCCCAACGGAAACGGGCGTGGGCACTTAGTACCGATGTGATGTACTTCTATTTGAGTCGATCGATCGCAGAGCTCACACCGTGACACAGTGAAACTGGTTGTCTACGGAAGTCCATCTTCACCAAAAAATCCGCAAGACAAAACTAGACATATGCATATATTATTATACATACATATACTTATGTACAATCACCCACGCACTTGGCCTATCAAGCACTTTTGGGCGTGTATATATATATATATACATATATAGAGCAAAAAATGTACTGGAATTTTTTAGTACCCTTTGCCTCAAAGCGCTACCCGTAGAATATAACAGGTGAAAATATACTATTATCAGGCTGTGCTGAAACCTTTTTATACGAATATCACTATTCGCTATTTTTTTTTTATTATCAATATACGCTATTTACTATTCATTTTAACTCAGGGCATCATCACAAGGTACCGTGAAAACTGCTTCCCGAATAGCGTTGCTGATCTATTATACTACTGTTATATTTACTATCTTTAGTCATCAATTTTTAATGGTTCGTAAAGGACTCATTCGAAAAATGGCTGTCGTCGTGAATTACGGACAACATACCCTTAGTTAACTTATGGCTAGATATGCAAAAATGAAATGGCACAGGTCTATTTTTCGAAAGTCGAGTCGACATCAAGACCTTAATAAAGCTTATTTTGATAAATTTTACGACAGTTTAGGACAACTTACTATCTTTACGCATGTAATCGCTGAGCGTAGTAAGAAAAATAACGCGTACGCGGCTCGGGCGACTCATGATTTTAGTAAAATAGAGCCATTGATTGTCAACCTTGCAATTACCGTAGACACAACACCGATAAAGGCAGCAATGGACATATACCAGTTCACGAGTATTTCAAAGGCCGCTAGGTAGCGTATCCGTTGGAACAGGCCAATGACTAAGTGCCTCTAAGCCAAACGTCATGCACTGCTCTTATTTCTATTTCGTATAAATAAAGCAAAACATTTATGAACACGTTCTCGAAGCCCGTATGTACACAACTTCCATTCACAGACGCAGCTAAATGCACACTGATACGCCATGTTGACGCAGAAATGATCGTATTCACTCTATTTTCATATACAGAAAATAATTTTTTCAAACAAATATCAGGAGAATAGATCGCACGCTAGAGGTAGTTGAACGTTACACGCTCGCACATGATGATATGGCTGATTGAGAACATACACTGAAAATGGAAAAAATAACGAAAAAGAATGATAATAATATCATTATTATCGGAGTAACGGTGTTAATTTCAGCCAGATGAATATAAATATGGTAAGAAAAAGAAACTCGAATAAATAAAGTGCACGATATCAAGTGAATGAAGTTGAACTGTGCCATACAAAAACAAGTGTGTCTTTTTATTTAGTACCTATAAAGCCGATAGAAATTTATGCATTTTGCATAGATAGTAGAATTTGAATGTGTACTACTTTTTCATTTCAAACTCCGCTTGCTCCTTAGGTGTCCTCGAGCCTTGTAGCCTGCTGCTTTTACCTTCGTATTTGATTTATTCATACAGCGAAGGTCCACAGAGTTTGTTGCTAGTGGCAAGACAAATGGTCAGTAAAATACAGTATTTTTAGAAATGCTATGGACTTGACTGTTGCGAAATGTGAACGTGTAACTGCATAAACAAAGCTTATAGGAAGCTTATTTCCGGTTCCTTGCCGTCCCTACTGCGAGAACCATATTACCTCTTGCGACCACCACTGAAGCATGGGTAATCGTCTGCTGCTAGCATTCCGTCGTTTGTAGGTGGCGCCCTCTAAAAAACAAACGCTAGGGTTCGAGTTAGGGGCTATCTAGTGATGGGGCAGAATATAAACGTTCCACAGCGCATCGGGCCGATGTTTAGTGGCCTGAGCAATGTTTTAACCGTTATTTCTTCTGGCAGATCAGGCTATAAGAACGTAGTGATAGATTCACCATCTGATCGTAAGCAAACGCACGGGCTCGACGTATTTCGAAGAGAAGACTTCCCATTTGCGGTCGAGCATTCGAAATAGTAATCATGTAAAGTACTCCATCTTGCTTTCGTCAGAGCAACTTGTGTCCTGAGTTAATTTTGATCAATCTATTTTATTGTGTCTGATTCAAACATATATTACTAAAGTATCTTGGCAAAATTCTTCGTCTAAGTTCAACTGTAGAATGGTAGACGTGGTCATTCATACTGCCGAAAGTGCAGACGCGTTTTTCTTTTTTCCTTTAAACATTCGGCTTCATCTAATAATTGCAGTCCCAAATGAAGCTCAATATTATCGAGAAACATCAGTCTTATTGTCCAGATGGCGTAATCTACTCGACAGGCCAAGCACGTCTCCCTAACCCTCTAGAAGTTGATTGAAACGAAATCGCGGGACCAGGCTGCCCTCTGTACGGCTCAGCGAAGAAATCACCAAGGCCCGTCATTTACTTGGGCAGGGGAAGACATCTGCAAAACGTGCGCTTATCGGAACGCCTCAACTTCACAAATGACCAAGGAAAATTTATGCAAAGTCCACAACGGGAACCATTTTCGAATTACGTTCTCAATTGTATCGCCCGGTTTTCAGTTTCTTTGTCATCCAAAAAACACGTACATTTACCAAGACTCAAACGCTTCCAAGCAATAACAACATCAAAGCATCCCAAAGCTTTCTAGGACAAGTCGCTATAGGTAAAAGTTTTCTACAAGTTAGTTAGCTTCGTTTCCTTAGCTGTTACTTTCTAATAAAATATTCTTTACCTACAGTTTTTTAGAATTAATTAATATAACTGCAGTTGTCAGTAACTCTTGGCAGATACTGAAGAGAACTTCCTTTGGATCCAATCATGGGTTGCTGAGAACAGAAAGCATCTCTTAACGACATAACTTAACGACAAGTTTTTTTCGCTATCACTCTTTACGACCTCCTATTGCCATGCAGCCAATTGATTTATTTCGTTTTGTCAGGAACCTTCAAGTCCGATGTCGAAGAGCTTATCCAGTCTGTTCTTAGCATCCTCTTCATTGTCATCAGTGAATTACTGTATTTGACCGTAATGACTGATAAAAGTTTCGGCAAAATGCGCATTATTTTTGAGAGACACACGAACTTAGATAGAGTTCCGTTTACCACGTGCGCAGGAGGTATATACACACAAGTAAACAAATCATGAACAAGTATAAGGAACGAACATCTAAAAATGAGACCGCCGTTGCTTTCTAATTAAGCTAATATATACTCAATGTTGTTCTCAATAGCTTTAGTGTAAGAATGCGGTTAGCAAACGTGCGCCCTCTAACCATATTGTTTGCCTGTATAAACACTGCTTATATCACCATAAACGTGCTTTACGCCGCGTTATGTTCATTGCTTTTGAAGAGGCATTGCAATTTTATGGATGAGCTAATGGTTTGCCATTGTGCCCGTTGCGGCGTGCACTATAAAACATTGGTTAGCCATGTTATCGAGAAAGCAGGTACTCCGTCCATGAGTACGAAAGCAGGTAGGAAAGAGCCTTTTCTTATGTAAACAATAACGGTTTTTTTTCGCGAGAGCGACACAAACATTTTTTTTTCAATTTTTATCATACATAAATCAATCGGCAATATTTTATGCGATCAATAAATGATCAGATTCAGGTAAATGTAGAATGAGCTTCAGCTGTGGATTTCTCTGAATGGACCGTACGCTTCTTCGATATAGTACTCTATTTGAGTGACAGCGGGGCCAAGGGCTTCTTTCGTCAAAGGGAGCTTTCAAAGAAAACAGCCATGGTCTTTTTGCTGTTTTTTTTTCTCGTTATGCCTATAAAGGAGATCTTCCTACAGTATCTGCATGTACGTTAGACTCATTTGAATTTTCTGATGGAAATGATTATCAACTGACTTTAAAAATATCAATCGTATTGTATAATATAGTGGGAATACTTTCTGCCGACGCATTTTCGTCGCAGTCAAGATTTAGTATGACAATTATAGAATACCGATTACAAACTTGCGTTGAATAGCATCCAAATACTATTATTTTTTTCTTCGTGAAGCTTAGTTCAGAGCCGTACGAACGGCCCATAATCTAAGATCTATAAGAGTGTTAGTAATGAATTTTACTTAATTTAGTTAGAGCCTTGAAACAGGCAACACTTTGTATTTATTTGAGTTACAGATATTTTCATTCAATCGCATTGAGCCCAGAATGAAGTGTAAAGTGTTACCGGATTCACGGTGCGCTGAACAAACAAATCCTGTATTTTCGCTATGTTGGTCCGGAAGCATGAAGCCATGATTACACTGGTATTCTGGATAAGCCAATGGGGGAAGCCTTAATGGCCTCAAGTGTTCGCGGCCTATGTGGAACAGGGTACCAAATTGCAACGCAAATTTATCTTCGTCATGGATAACGTCACAGATACGTGACCCCTTTGCTGATCTTGTACTCAAAGGTGAATCAAAATGAATTTCTTGCCTTGTGATTAGCTGTCCATCGATCCACTGTGAAGGATAATTCGTAACAAGAACAATACGCAACCAATATAATAACCCAGCCCAAGCGTAGGTGATAGCAAATGTTGACTGAAATCAAGCTACATCGAATGGGACTACATTGCCTATGCGTATTAATGGCTAGCTAACGAAAACGCTATCTAGTACAAGGCTCAATGAGCCTTGAATTCTGATACCTGATCGATTTCCCTTGCTATCCAAAGAAAAGTTTGCACATGGTAATCAAAAATAATAAACGTCATTGAGTATTAGCAAGTCATGTTTCACACACGTGTGGTAACTTACAGGTAGATGTTACATTGACTCCATGACGGATTAGGGGGTAGGCCATGGGAGATATGTAGCGATACGGAACAGTTTTTTTGCCTGCGTCGACTGCGCGTCCGCGTCTTCTCGAATGCAAAATAGACCTTGAAGAGGAATCGCGAACTACAACTGACCTACTAGCAACAAGAACGTTTTAAGGTCAATAGTATGGAGGGGAATAACGGATTTCGTCACAAATGGAATAGCACGGAAGAGCTACCCTAGTACATATTCATCTTAAACTGGACAATAGGGGATGAGAAGGATAACTTAAGAATCAGTCAGGTTACGTTCTTCCGCATTTTTTGTAGACGATATACAAACCTTCACGTTAAATATGAGTATCTAAAATCATATAATCAAGGCCAGTCACACACTCCATCTAAGTTAACGATATCCCCATTTAGTTTTGGTACGAATAACGTATAACGATCGCAATAGAGTATATAATATGAAGGGGTTGAATTTTGATGAAAGCACGTTACATAACATTACGTCATGAAAACATTACTTTTTTTTAATCATCCTAATCTATTATGGTACGTGGTAGATGACTAGAACAAAATGGCTGTCTTTGGGAAATCCGCATATGCTTTCAAAGCCACCGCCGTAAATGGTAATTCAAATATATGGTAATACTTGCCTGAAGACTTGAAACCACTTGAAAAAGTTCGAGTCAATGACATTTCGAAAGTAAATGCCGTTTAATGTAAACAAGACAAAACATTCCAGCACGTCCAACCCAGCACGAGGGTGGCTGTCCAAAAACACAGGAGTTATCTTTTTTGTGCATACTCATATCGGCTTCTGTCGAATGGTGTTCCAGCGAACGATAAGTGGACATGTATAATATACAAAGGTGTTTATCTAGTTTTCAAGCTCGATGACGAGCAAATAATGGGCATTTACTATTATCCAGGAAGTATGCTAAGCATCAGCGAATCTCTGATAAAAATTTCGTGTATGCTTATACCGAATAATGGAACCAACCCCAAAAACTGGTCAAAGAACGGCCCTAAAGCAGGCTCATATTTTGATACTAATATGTATGGCGACATATTACTGCGGTCATATCTTGGAGCGTGGATTGCACTTTCGAAAATCTATTATTGATTCTCTTAGCAATACTCTGTTTTGGCGCTCATAGAAATAGGCCGATTTTTCGGACTTAAGGACTTGATCAAAGAAGCTTTATACAACTCGAACAGACCGCAAGCAAAAAGCAGAAGTTGAAATGTTGATAGTCAATTTATTTCCGCTGAGATAGGGATTTAGAGAGCTCAAGATGAGATTTAGCCTTTATCTTAGACTGGGGACAGTACAGGGGGCTACATTAGCGGACACGACCCGAAAGGATTAATGTAAGATCTTGAAACGTTCGCTTGCGTAACTAGGAAAGCTGTGTTTACAGCTTATATACAGGTTGTTTGTAATATTCTTAACGAATAACGTCGTTTGGCCTTTGGGTTCGAACGAAAGGTTGACAGTAATCATTTTAACTACGAATTTGACGGTCTATTATTAAAGACAGTACCATACGATAAACCTTACTTTCTAATCAGAGAAAACCAGAG